CCCCGGGTCTGGCCGTTTCCCACAGGGCAATGCCAAGTGCAATGAGGGCTCTCTGTCCGAGGCGGCCGGGTCCAGCACGGCGGGGCCAGGCAAGAACTCTGCCGTTAAGGCCGCCAAGAAGGCCGAGAAGAAGCCTGTCGGGGCGGGCAAGGGCGCCAAGGGCGACAAGGGGCCGGCCAAGAAGGAGGGCGGCGCCAAGAGCAAGAGCGACAAGAAGAGGGAGTCAAAGCAGCCTGCAAACAAGGTGCGTGGGCAAAAGTGTATGCCAAGTTTGATCTTGTTTACATGCTTCTATTGAACTCTGCATGTGAGGCAGATGGACACCTGTGCTGCATAGAGGCACCTCACCCCAGCCAGGCGCCCTTCTCACAACAGCACTCAGTGCACCGCGAGTCCATCGCCGCCGCCCTCTGCCCGTCAACCACGCTCGTGCACAGACCACCTCAAGCGCTGCTGACAGCGCCGCCTCCACCGCCACGAGCAAGGACGGGGCGCCTGCCATCAACAACACCCCAGAGGAGGTGCGTTTCGTGGCGGCAAGACGGGCCTGGCATGATAGGCTGCTTCGTTGCCCGGCCTCACTTTCAATCTATGGGCGTTTTGGTGCAGCGAGCGCTACTGCGTTGCCCAACACTCCAGCAGCATTGTGGCCTTTGTGTCTGAGCAGGCCCCCAACTGACAAGAATGATTTGGGGACAGCCCCTTGCGCCGGGGCCAGTGAAACCCTCAATTGCCCCTCGCAATCGGATGCGCTGCAGGCTCCCGCCAGCACCTGCACCGCCCGGGGCGAGCCCACCGCGCCCGCATTCAGCCTCAAGAGCGGCAGCGCGGGCGCGTGCCGCTTTGCCGGCGCCAGGAGGGTCGCGGCCGGCAAGCCCCGCCCGGACAAGGTGAGACGAGGAGTGAGTTGTCCTGTGCTTGTGGGCCGCTGCTGTGTTTTGCCATGGGCGCAGGTAGGGCTGGTGCTGCTGCCCCCCCTGTAGCAGCTACTCTTGGTGTTGGACGGCACCAGTTGAGTTTCATGCAGTTGTGGCAGCTGGGCGCGTAACGCTTGCCTGCATTAACGGCTGTCGCCATCCTCGCGCCCCAATCGCTTGCAGGGCGCCGCTGGCAGGTGCGAGCACAAGGCGGGCCGTGGCAAGGTTGGCGTCAAGGCGTGCAAGCAGGCCGCGCCGGCCAGCAAGGCGGCCGAGGTGAGGGAGGTGGTGGCGTGGATGGTGGTGTGTGCCGGCCATGGCTCGCACACTCCGGGCTGCAGCAAGACGCGTGCCCAGCTGGTTGATCTCCCCCTCAGCTGCCCCCCCACCTGTTCACAAACAACCCCGCGTCCGGGCCCTCACCACCAACATTGTGCTCAGGCCACGGCCCCCCTCACCAACGGCGCCCCCATTGTGGAAGCCGCTGCCGAGGACGAGGGGATGGCTGTCAAGGGGACCCTGGATGAGGTGCGCAGGCTGTTGGGGCCATTACCAGGCTGGACTGCAGTGCTTTGGGGCACGTGGTTTTGTGGCACTGGAATAGCTCAGCCGCTGCTGCGCGGTGATAGTGTGCCCTGAGCCTGGGGCCATCGGCTCTGCCGCCGGCGGCTGTGCTGGCAACGACAGCAGTTTCCCTGGCCCCCTTGCGTCGCAGTGTGCTGCTATCACGCATCAACGGCTCAAATCGCCGCCACCTCACATTCTTTTCACAAATGCCTGCAGGTCGAGACGGCCTCCGCCACGCCCGACCATGTGACTGACAACACCGGCCCCGCCGACACGGCAGGCGAGAGCGCCACCATTGACGCCGCCACAGAGCCCGCCAACGTCGCCGCCACCGACGCCGCCACCGACGCCGCCACCGACGCCGCCACCGACGCCGCCACCGACGCCGCCACCGACGCCGCCACCGACGCCGCCACCGACGCCGCCACCGACAACGACTGCTGCAAGGGCGCCGCGGCCGCGGCGCCCGAGGGCAAGGCGGCCCCAATCGACGACAGCGGCAGCAGCGATGCCGCGGCCGGGGAGGAGGAGACAGTGCCCTACCGCGGAGCGGCCGCCGTCGCCCACCCCAGCTGTGACGCGGCGGACGACGCCGGCTGCTGCGCTGACACCGCCGCCACGGTCCCACTCGACGGCGACGGCTTCATCACCTGCCCCGCCAGCGTCAAAGACCCGGCTTGCGCACGCGCCTCCAGCTGCGGCGGCGGTGACGGCCCCGGCACGCCCGATTCCACCTCCGACTCGCGCCGCCCGGGGCCATTCCGCTGGGGCAGCGGCGCCAGCCGCCTGAGCAGCGCCAGCAGCGGCTTGGGTCGCCGCAGCAGCACCGGCAGCGGGGCGGGTGCCGCCGCCGCCTGCGACAATGACGGCGTTCCCGTCCCTCTCGCCGCGGGCGGTCGCCTCTCGTCCTGCGCCGGCCAGGTGCCGTGTGTGGAGGCTGCAGCGGCCCTGCCCGCTGCCGCCACGGCATCTGTACATCCACAAGAGCTCAATGTTGCCTCCTGCCTCACCAGCGCTGCGCTCCTGGAAGATCCATACACCTTCCAGGAGGACTTGGCCGCCGCCCTGCAGCCCGCCCAGGCCGCGCGCGCCGCCGCCTCTGCTGGTGCCGTCGACTCCGCGGCGAGCCCCGTCGCCGCGGCGTTTGATGCGCCGATCATCGATGCGCTCGCCGCAACGGTGGTGGACGGCATCGCCGCCGGCGGCAGCTCCGCCCTGCACATTGTGGAGGACGCGCGTGTTTGGGGTCGGAGCGTCGGAGATGTCATGTTCGTGGTCGCGGCCGCCGCGCCGCAGCTGCTGCAGGCAACGGAGAGCGCCGGATGCGGCGGCGACGGCGGCGGTGTCGCCCTGCCGTCCTTCCTCCTGCTGACGGCTCTGGCGGGCGCGGCCCCGCCCGCGGACGGCTCTGGTGTCGACGCCGCGGCAGCAGAGCGCCAGGCCCTGGTGCGTTTGCGCATGCCCGCGGCGCTCAGTGCCGCGGGCCTGACGGCAGCACCCTTTGGCGACGGCGCGGCGACGGCAGGGGCCGTGTCGCGCCGCGTGGGCGCGGTGCTGGGCGCCGCGCAGTCGGCAGCGCTTGCGGCGGGCGCCGCGCCGCCGTGGGCGGGCGCAGAGGCCGCGGCGGACGCGGCGGCGGCGGTTGCTGCGGCCGCCCTGCTGGATGGCGATGACGTGGCGGCCCTCTGCGAGGCAACGCAGGGCGCCGCGAGCACGCTGCTGGCCCCCGGTGCGCACCAGGCGCTGCTGCCGGCGCCTGTGATGGCGCAGCTGTGCCAGGCCTTGGCCACTGTGCACCAGGTGGACAAGGGCCTGGCCAGGCAGCAGGCAGAAGGGAGGGTGCAGCGGCTGCAGCAGCAGCTGGGGGAGAGGGGCGCAGAGGTGCGGCTGCTGGGGGAGAGGGTGGAGGAGCAGGCGCGAGAGATCGCCGCCCTGAGACAGGAGGCGGCGGCCACGCGTGCCAGGGTGAGGGCGTCGGCCGTGGTTGTCCAAGATGAGGAGCAGGAGGAGGAGCAGCAGGGCGAGGTGCAGCGGGAAGAAGAGGTGCGGGGAGAGGCGCAGCGCGCCGTGGTGGCTCCAGCGGCGGCTGAGCCGCCTGCGGCAGCCGTTGTCAGGCGGCGTCGCGGCTCAAGGCTGCGCTCGCTGGTGCGCTGGGGTGGCGCGGCGGCTGTGGCGGTTTGCTGCGGCGCAGCGTTTGGGCTGGCCAGGGCGCGGCGGCGCTGACGAGGCCGGGGCCTCAAGACAGACGAGAAAGGCACGCTATGGCCTGCGCATCACGCTGCATGGCGTGTTCCACCCCCTCAGCAAAGGTATCCAGACTTCAGGGGTTGTCTGCCTTGCCCCGGGCTGTCGTTTTGAATGCCTGTATAATGGCTGGTGCGCATGCTGCAGCCACGTGTGGCTGCGAGGCTGGAACAGAGAATGGGATCTGGCTGTTGAGATTCGCAGCGGACTCATTACGGTCTATTTCATCTTGGCCAAGCAAACACGTAAAAGCCTCCAATCAAACAGAACAGTAGCACCCAACAGCCACTGCGGAAGGGTGTGCGTCAGCGCCCCACATACATTTGCACAGCTGCCAGCTGATTCAATTCAGGCCAACTGAATTTCGTGCAATCTCAAGGTTGTGCAGGCGAACTCGGTCCAGAAATTCGTCGGCACAGCTGCGCCAGTGCAACACCCGCGGGTGGTTTTGTCACAGCCCACCACCAGTCAACCAGGACCGTCAATGAGGTTACCGTACGCACAAGTCTACCCTTGGTTGATGTTGCTGCAAATGCTGCACAGTGCGCGCTTCGATGCAGCGCCTGCTTCTGGTTGCCCCTTGGGCCGTTGGGCATCGGTTCGGTGCCAAGTGTGCAGTGCTGCTCCAGTGCCTCACACGGTGCCTGCTGGACACCTGACGAAGGGCCTCTGCCAAGGTGCCAGGAGTCTTGTGCTGCATGCATGGTGCCGGATTTGTGCTGAGCAGGCGCATATCACCGTTGGCATCCCGGATCACATTTTGCGATTTCAAAATCATCCATCGGCACCCAGCCTTGATTGGTGCACAGGCCACGCGCATGCTGATCAATAAAGCGTATTGATATGGGAAGAGCAACGGCAGCGGACGTGGTGCGCGCGGACCAGGAGGTCCCCGCGCTGTTCAATGCCGTGCAGCGCAGCGCAGCTGCCACCGATCGGTGCGCTAAGCACCTATGGCGGATAGCACAGCTGCGTCCAGAGGATGCCATACAGGCGCTCGCAGGCTGCGTCGACCTCGTGTTGACGGCGGGCCAGGTGCGCTGCGCCTCCCATTCCCTTGCTACACCGCAAAAATCACCGCTGCATGGCCATCGGCTCTCGCCGCACGGTCATTGTCGTTCCTTGTGACAGGAACATTACGCTCGCACACACGCGCGCGCACCTGCAGAAGTCGCCGCCCGCCGAGCGCTGCATTCGCTTCCTCGCGGCGATCTCCGCCGCCGCGCCGCCGACCGAGGCTGGGGAGGCGTTCGTGGAGGCCCTCCTATACAAGCTGGCCAGCCACCTCGACGCCGCGGACAAGGTCGTCCGCCTCCGCGCGGCGCACGCGCTCGCGCTGTCGCTGCACGCGCTGCCCCCAGACGCCTGCGTCGACGAGGCGCTCGCGCAGCGGCTCGCGGACGCGCTGCGGCTGCGGCTGCGGGATCGCGCGGCGGACGTGCGGCGGTGCGCGGCGCGCGCGCTCGGGCGGCTGCCGGCGGCGGACGAGGTGCGCGTGTGTACGCGTGTGCGCGCCGCAACTCTTTGAATCCGAAAACAGCAGGCGCAGCCAACGTCAAACTTCGCGGGACTTCAAGTGGCAGATGCCTCTGACGCCAAATCACCACCGCGTCGTGAGGAGCCGTCCCCTCCCTTTGATACCGCCCATGCCATGAATCAGTCGCCCCTGCGCCCGCCGCCCCGCCGCTGCCGCCCATACCCGTGGCGCAGGACGGGGGATACTCCGAGGACCCTGCCACATGCGCGCTGGTGGAGCGGCTGGGGCAGGAGAAGAACAAAGACGTCCGCGCGGCCATCCTGCAGGTGTGGGGCCGGGAGGAGTGGATTCATATGAAGGAGAACGGAGGGCTGCGCACGCCTCCTCTCACTGGGGGTTGTGGGGGAGGTCGGAAAGGCGCGGCAGGCCCGCATCAGCCTTCACGAGCCGTGAGGCCGCCGCCGGCCTGGCGGCCGGGTGCTGACCTGAACCCCGAGGAAACGGACACGTGCGTGCCGCACGGGACAAATGAATCGGTTCGACGCCGCAGGCCCTGCCGCTCGCCGCGGGGACGCTACCGGTGCTGCTGGAGCGGCTGAGGGACGTCGCGCCGGCGGTGCGGCGGGCGGCCGTGGCGCGGCTGGGAGCGGTGCCGCCCACGATGCTCAGGTGCGGTTGGTGTGTATGAGGGAAGGTGTCTTGTGTGTGGAAGGATGTGTGTGTGTGTGTGTGTGCTGGATGTGTGTTGGGGGGGCAGGAAGGTTGAGCGTGTGTGTGAGCGTATGTGTGTGTGTGTGTGTGTGTATGTGTGTGTGTGTGTACATTTCTGTGTGTTTCAGGAGTGTATTGGATGTGCATACGCGGGCCGCTTGTTTTTGCGCGCACCGACACGTCACGTTTCCCGCCGAGGCACCACCTGGGCAGCGCGGGTGTGGCTGCGGACGAGAGCGCACGGGCAGCTGCATTGATGGGACCAGCACAGGCGCCTGGGCCCCCCGCCGGCGGCGGACGACGCACCAATATGTCGCCGGCTCACAATCTTCTCATGTGCTGATTGCGTTTGCAGCATCAAGCAGCGCGCCCGCCTGCTGGCCGCCGGGCTCAGGGACAGGGACGCTTCGGTGAGCGGCCGGGGCGGCGTCATTCGGGGACGTGTCACCGCCCGCATCGCCGCTGTCTGTCACTGCGCAAAGCATGTTTGATGACAGACCGGGAAGCGGGACAGCCGGGAGGCAGGAGGCGGGGGGCATTTGGCAGGACGGCGGCCACGGACGTTGACCCGTTGACCCGCCTGCCGCTGGGCCGCCGGCGCGCCTGTTTGGTTGCAGGTCAAGGCGGCAGCCGAGGCGGCCGTCGCCGGCTGGCTGGCGGGGCCGTGCGGGGGCGACGCGCTGGCACTGCTGGAGTTGCTGGATGTGGAGACGTACCCTGGTGCGTGCCATGATCTAGATCTCAGATCTCAGATCTGGGCGGCACGGCGCACGGTCTCGGCTTGATCCTGCTAGCCAGAGTTTTCTTGTCCTCCTCCGCTCCCTTGTTCCTCCCTGCTTTCTTTCATTTCAACCTTCCTTCGTTCACGCGGCTCGCACCTTCCCTCCCTCCCCCAATGCCCGCTTTACTTCTGTTCCACCTGGCTCCCCACCTCACCCCAACCGTTCTCGCCACCCCTGCCACCCCGCGGTCGTTTGACTGTTTGACCTGCACACCCCAGATGAGGCCACCCTGGCACTTGATGCGCTGCTCGCCGCCGGCGCCCTCGACGCGGCGGCGCTGGCCAAGTCAGCGGCCGCGCGCGGCGGCGGGCTGCGGGGCGCCGCCGCGGCGGCGGCGGAGGCGGCTGCGGGCGGAGGGGAGGGCTGCTTGGCGGAGCTCATGCAGCCGGCGGAGGCGCTGATGTGGTGGGTGGCTCAAGACGCAGCATCCTGGGTGCCTGTGTCTGATGTGTTTGGGACTTGCTTGCTTCCTCCCTAGGATACCAGCCCCTGCATTCTGCAGCGCAGCAAAACACATGTCAATTTTGAATGAATGTGCGTCTCGTGCCGAGCCTGCGACGACTCGTTTCTCTACGCACTCGCGCCTGCGGTCACCGCGGCTGCGGCGCTGACGCGCGCGAACCTCACCCTTTCTCCAATTTCCGCTTTCTTCCCGTCGTGCGCGCGCGCGTATGCGTGCAACGCGACCGCCAGGCGCTGCGCCTGTGAGCGGCTGCAGCAGGAAGCGGTCGGCGAGGGCCTGGCCGCGGCCGCCACCACCGGCGCGAGCGCGGCGGTCCGCGCCGCCGCGGCGTCGCAGCGCCACGAGGTTTGGCTTGAGGGGGCTCCCAGGGCCGCCAACGTGAAGTTTACAAACAGCCCTTGCCCTCAGTCCTCCCGCATCCAGATCATGCCACAATAAAAATAGTCACCCACCAGCCTGATCACAATCTCACCTTTCACCATCCTCAGCCACCCATGCCTTGGGGTGACGCTTCCTCAACAAACTAACAATCATCACACTGACGGTGATGGTGCTGACGATTGGACATACGAAACATGCACAACTCCCCCACACACACACACATATACACGCACGCCACCCGCAGGCCCTTGAGTCTCTACTCCCGGAGTCCGCCGCCTCCATGGCGGCCCTCCTGCTGTCCCACGCCGCCGCCGGCCCGCGCGCCCGCTTCGCCGCGACCCAGCTCGCGCACATTGCCGCCACCTGCCTGGTGAGGGCCGCGGCCCCCTAGGGCGCGCACGCGCACTCGTAACTGCCACCGAGCTGCTTTCTCATGTGGAATCTGGGCAGCAAAGACAGCGTCCATACTCCACCATGCAGTTCCTTGGCTAGGTTCGAGGGAGCAAGGCAGAAATGCGGTGCATGCACGCCTGCCCACACGCGTGCTCCGCCTGCACGCAGCGGCGCCCCGCGTGCGCCCCGTGTGCGCCTGTCCAACTGCCGCCTTCCAACCCCGCTCACAGCCACCGCTGCAGCCGCAACGGTGGACTTTTGCCCCGTCTTACCTCCCCTCTCCCCACCCCTTTCCCTCTCCCCCCCCTTGCCCACCCCCTCTCTCCGCAGGACTGGGCTGATGCGTCAAGCCGCAGGGCGGCTGCGGAGGCCCTGCAAACCATCATCGCCCAGGATCCCAGGTGTGCACGCACGCACGCACGCGTGTGTTCGACGCGCTTGGGCGCGGGGGTGCGCGCGGCAGTTTGCGGCGGAGCAGGCGGGGGCGCGCGGCAGGCGTGGCCCCCCTCTCACGGACACCGCAGTCGCGGAAGCTGCTCCACAGCTTCACCTGCCTGTCACTGTTTGCAGCCAGCGGCGTGTCGCCAGTGTGAGCGATGCATTTCTTATGGGTGCAGTTGTTGCAACGTGATTCACGGTCGCTGGCTTCAGCCGCGCGGCCCGAAACGGCCCGAGCATGCGCAGCGAGGGCTCCTGCATCACGCGCGACGCTGTGCATGCGCCCAGTCCTGTTGCGACGGCGCCCCCGACGCCCGCGTCCCCCACGCCCCCCCGCTTTGCTGACGCCTCAGTGCCGAGGAGGGCGCCGATGAGGACGACAGCAGCGGCGGCGACGAGGATCCAGATGGCGAGGGCGGCCCGGCGGGGGGCGGCAGCGTGCCGCTGTTTGGCAACGGAGGGAACGGGTGCTACGAGGAGGCCCTCGCGGCTCTCGCGGCCGCGGTGCACGCGGGCGGCCAGCGGGAGCTGTGCGGGCGCCTCCTCGCCGGCGCCGGCGCGCTTGCGGCACGGGCGGGCCTGCTGAGAGGCGGCAGCGGCGGCGACGATGCGGATCCGACTGCTGCTGCGCCGTGCCAGTGGCTGCAGGTGCTGCAATATGCCTCGCTCGCGCTCCGCGCGCTGCCCGCGCGCCGCGCCGCGGCAGGCGGCGGCGGCGCGTGGGACGTCGCTGAAGGGCCGCTGACGCTGCAGCAGTTGTGGGACCGCCTGCTGCTGCCCGCAGCAACGCACGAATCCGCGCCCGTCCGCGCCAAGGCGCTCGAGTGCGTGTCGCTCCACTGCCTGACCGGCGCCCGCCCCGCGCCGGCGGCGCTGCCGGCGGCGGCGCTGCTGCTGCGGCGGGCGCTGGCTGGGCCGGAGGCGCCGGAGGTCGCGGCCTCGGCGGCGCGGGGGCTGGCGGACGTGTTTTTGGTACTCGGGCCGGTGGCGGTCGAGTCGGTCCTGCTGGCCGCGCCGGGGGCCGACGCTTCGGGCAGCGGAGGCGAGGCTGGCAGTGAGGGCGCCCCGGCGGGCGGGGGCGGGGCCGCCGACGGCCGTGGTGTGCTGCAGCTGCTGACGGCGGCGGCGACGCGCGCGCTCGGCGCGGGCGGGCGCGGCGCGGGCGGCAGGTGGGGCTCCCGGCGGGGCGGCGCGCGCTTGGTTCCCCGTCTCCGTGCCCGCCCTGTTGCCCTGTTGCCGGACGCCCCTCCTCATGGCGAATTCGAAGGGCCATGCAGCTTCCCGACACCCACGTCATTCATGCATGCCCACAACCTTGGCTCGACTCGTGCCTGTCAGATCACGCCCCAGCCATAGCGCCCCCCCAACACACACACACACACAAACTCACACTCACACATACACATATACGC